CAAAAAAAAAAAATAATATATATATATATATATATATATATAAAAACAGAAAAGGTACAGAGAAGGGCAACAAAAATGACTGGGAGTATGGAACATTTTCCATACAAGGAGAGATTAAAAAGACTGGGACTGTTCAGTTTAGGAAAAAAACAACTAAGGGAGAATATGATAGAGATCTATAAAACCATGAATGGTGTGGAGAAAGTGAATAGAGATAATACAAGAACTAGGGGTCACCCAATGAAATTGATAGGCAGCAGGTTTAAAACAAACCTAAGTACATCTTCACATAATGCGCAGTCAAACTCTGGAACTTGTTGCCAGGGGAAGTTATGAAGGCCAAAGTATAACTGGATTAAAAAAGAATTAGATACGTTCCTGGAAGACAGGTCCATCAATGACTATTAGACAAGATGGTCAGGTATACAACCCCATGCTCTGGGTGTCCCTAAACCTCTGCCTGCCAGAAGCTGGGATTGGAAACGGGGTGGATCCTGTTCTGTTCATTCCCTCTGAAGCATCTGGCACCAGCCACTATCAGAAGACAAGATACTGGATTAGATGGACCCTTGCTCTGAGTCAGCATGGCCATTCTTATGGATTTAAGTAGTTAATGTTAAGCACCTTGTTTTGAACATTTTTGTCTTTGTGGACATGGGCACTGAAATAGGCATGCCAGAACAGAGGGGGCTAGAGGGCCATGGCCCCATCACTTTTAAAAGTGGGAGGGCTACACTCTCCCTCTTTACTGGCTGTAAGGGCAAGCAATGTGGGGAGGGAGAGGAGCAAGCAGGGGCAGGGCCTCAGAGGGGAAGGGGTGGTGGCAGGAACAATGCCACGGTTCAGGTACCAGTATGCCCTCCCCCACTTTTAGGGAGCTTCCACTGCTCCTGCACGGAAAGATCTCTGACCTTGTAAGGGAGCCTGCTATACTTGTGCCACTGTGAGATAACGGAAATCTTGGCAGGTGCCAGAGAAAGTGGAGGGACTACAAACCCATCCCCCTTGGTGCAATGCAGGATGCATGTTATTGCACCTGTCAAAGTCCCATTAGAGTTTCCTCAACACTACTGGGAAAGAGGAAAATGGGTCAGATTCTCATCAGATTCTTATCCTGCTGTAAAACTGGAATAAATCTGGATCTTGCTCCATTTACTCCAGACTTACACTGGTGTATGCAAGATCAGAAGCTGGTCAATAAGCACGTTTACAAGTCTTAACAAAATTCTGAGCTAAGCCAGTGGTTCTTACAGTGGGTATGTCTATACTGCATTTAAAAACCCATGACTGACCCCTGTCAGCTGACTCAGGCCTATGGGGTGTTTAATTGTGGTGTAGACGTTCAGGCTCAGGCTGGAGCCTGATCCCTAGAACCTTCCCCCTCCCAGGGTCTGGAGCCCAGGCTTCAGCCCACACCCAACTGTCTACACTGCAATTAAACAGCCAGAGCTCAAGTCAGCTGACATAGGCCAGCTGCAGTATCTAACTGCAGCATAGATATACCCACTGAGCTATGCAGAGCTCCTTTTTCAATGAAGATGTGACAATTAGGGGATTGTGTCTATGTACAATTTATGAATTCCCATTTGATATTATAAACTCTCCATATAGATTATCAATCTATAAATGCCATTTTGATTGGGAGGCTACTCTGCCTTCTCTGCTGACCTTTTACCTCCATCTTGGACTGAAATTCCAAGGAGGAGTGACGCAGACTAACAATGGAGGGTCGTTAAACCTTGACTATTCTCTATGCACATGGAAGCACCATTGGAGGGATATCACAGTTGTCTGAGCCTGAATGGATCACTAAAAAGGACTGGCCAAGGCCAACTCCATGTCAGTGGAAAATCTGAGAAGCCCAGGCCAAACCCAGTCTCCAGCACATTGACAAACCTACAAACCAACAACCCAGAGGGAGATGGATTTCCCTGCCTCTCAGCAGTGAAACTGAGCGAAGACCCCAGCTCAAGATCAAATGACTGGAAGATGTGAGATGGGGGGATAAAGCGTTGGTTTCTGGAGGAAGGGATAGACACCTGGGAACTAAGAAGGTGAGAGAAAGTGCATGAGAGCTTGCACATGCGTTCACAACAGCTTGGCTGAGCTCTGGGGTAATTAGCATGAACTATGCTTGAACCTGTATTTCTCTGTGCTGACTAAGGATTTTCAGATTCTGTTGCCGGGTGACTAATAAATAGTACCTTGTTTTGCAAAGGCTGCCTGTGTTGCTGTAATACTCACTGACAGCCCTGCACCATGAAAGGGACAGTACAAGTCTCCCACATGAGTCTGACTGGGCTGGATTTGCTGCAGGGAGCCATGGAGAGACAGGGATTGCTGGTGCCAACAGCCCAGTCTTGGAACCTACAAAGCCTGTGGACTGCATGCACCCTTGGGGCCCAGCCCACTAAAGGAGTCACTCCCAGGAGACCTGTTACAGGCTGGGACACAGACCAGACCCTGTGACTCCACAATGACAAGGGCATAGAAGTGTTTTATTGTTTTTGTCTAAATCTGTACATTTCTTGGGGTATCTAAAGAGTATTTGTGTTAAACCTTTGCAAAGCCTGTGTGTTATGTGCATCAATTATCACATAGCCCTGGAGAGAGACACCGTAAACCAGACTGCCCACAAGTTTGGAGCACTGGGAAAAGGTTTGCTGAGGTTATCAGTGTGTATTGTGGGGTCAGAACCAGCCAGGATGTGGAGCTGGGTCAGCTGGACCACCAGCTCCACTTATCTAAAGGGGCAATAGGTAGAGTCTGGGCCCACTAAGCATGCCCGAGGGGCCAAAGACTCAGAGACAAACCTTGCTGGATCCTTCCGAGACCAAGGGAAGCTTAAGAGCACATGGTTCCCCATTAGGACCCAAACAGCAGCCTGGTGAGTATCCAGCAGGGGGAGCTGTACCAGAGCTGGGACAGAATGTCAGTCTTCAGGCAGTAACTTCCTGCTAAGTCTAGCCAAAACCAGGACCCTCTTAGGGCTTCATGACCAACTAAAAAGTATTTCTCCCCCCTCCCCCAACCTCTGGGCAACTGACTTGTGTCCTCCTTTGTTGAGTGACTATTTACCGAAAATTAAACTATGCTCAAATTTGCAGACAACTCCAAAATTAAAGGAGGGGAGCAAATGCACAGGAAGACATATCCAAACGGCAAAGAGAGCTGCAAACAAGAGAAGAGACTGCCCCTCAAACAAAATATTTTGGATTAATGATCATTGTTTGCCATTATTTTTCACAGCTGAAAGTTTGTCAGTAGAGAGAGAGACCTGAAGTCTTCTCCAGAGAAACTCACAAAGAGTTGCCCTTTTTTTCAAAATAGCCATCATCTCCCGTTATTCTCAGTAGGACGGAGGGCAAACGTTGCCCTCAGTTAGGATGTCCTCTTTCAAAATGGTGACTGCCTCCCATTGTTCCCAGTGAGAATGAATCAAAACAGAGCTCAGGGAAGATGGTATGCAGGCTTTTGGGAGGCAGAGAGGAAGCTGTGAGGAGCAGTGGCAGTGCCATATTTCCTGAGGGCAGCTTCTGCTCTCAGTCCCATTGAAAACAACATGAGATGGCAACCATTTTAAAAGACAGTAGGACTTCATGGAATTTGGTAGAACATTTATCAGCACTGCTGAACATTCAATTATGAAGAACAGCAAAAAGTGACCAATACCCTTAAAATATTTCTCCAAATGTAGTCAACCTCCCTAAAAGCTCATGCACAAAAAGTCTGTTATTCCATTAACAACATCAATAGGGACAACAAAATATCTTCACATAAGATGCTAAATTTCTAAAAATACCCATTTAATTTTAACTCTAACAATTACTTGTAAATGTTAGAAAATTAATTCTATATTCAAATGGCAAATATTAAGCTTGAAGAGGACAGTCTATTTTTCATACACGGAGGCTGAATCCCTGCTTTTAGTACAAAACCAAACTTAACCTTAACTATGAAACTAGAATTGGTGCCTCCGTAATAGACAAAGCAGACAAAGGGCAGGAAGGGAAATCAAAGAACAGCTTGGTGTAATGACTTGGTTAAGGTCACACAGGAGGTCAGTGGTGGAGTTGGGAATAGAATGCAGGCCTCTGACTCCTAGGCTGGTGTCCTCGCCACTGGACCATAGTACCTGTCAATCCTTCCCATAGTCCCATGTCTTAGCTGGCCCATGAGTCAGTAACAAAGACCACAGACATACTTGACACCTTTAATACTTTGTGGAGAAGATTTCTAAATTTGTGATTCAGCTGAGAAGCAACTCCGCAGTTACCCAAAAACCTTGAATTCCGTGTCCACTTTCAGCCTAGGCATGATGGAGACTGAGCTATTCTCATTGACTAAACAGAGAGAATAGCTATCCCTGCTAGTTGTTTCAGATCTCTCAGCAGCCATGGATATCACTGTCCATAAGAGTATGGCTGCTCACCTGCAGGCTCTGAGGGAGGAGAGGATCATATTTGAATGCTTCTGTCCTTTCTAGGAGTTCCTAGCAGATGCTGCTGTACAATTGCTCATCCACACTAAGGGCACATATTTACTGGGATCTAGCTGCCCCTGTTCCTGTTCATTGTGGTACATTGTGGAGACGACAGTTATACAGGGGCTGTGGTATCATCATTACATGAAGGACACAGGTTGAAATCCACAGGTTGGTCCATGGAAAGAGGAGATGGCTGGATAATAATGATAACAAATCTCAAACTGCGCTGTTTGAGGCAGTAAAGTGCTCTTGGTCCATAGCTGCAGTTCCTGTTGGTCTGATACCAGTTTTCAACTGAGAACTGAAAGCTGAAGGCAAACAGCTGTTAGAATATTTATTGTGTGTGTTTGTTCCTTTCTGGTTAAATCACAGTTTTGCAGTGAGTTGGCCAGGATGATCGCATCTCTGAGTTCATGTAAATGTAAAGCCATGTTACAAAGGGGAAGAGAGAGAGAGAAATTGCAACCATCAGACGAATTCCACCCAAAGGATTTCTAGAAAGAACAAAAGACAATGGTGTTATTTCAGATCAAACCCAGCTAGCAACAGAGGGGCCTGGGCTTGGGGTGAGATTCCTCATCACACTGAGGAGCCTGGAGAAAAGCAGTGCTGATGAGCTGCAATCAGCGTGCCACAAAATCTCCCTGGCCGCTGCTGCTATAGGTGGCTTCTCTGAAGCTTTTGTGCCTGCTCCCAAACCCTGCCTTTACTGTGACCGGAGAACGGAGCAGGCAGCAGCACCTATCCAGGAGCCTGCCCACTTGTTCCCCTTCTCTGCTCCTTCCCAACCTGCACTGAAGAGCTGCTCAGCTGTCCCAAGTTCATGTGGCTACATCCCCCTCAACTTTTAGGGATGGACATCAAAGACTCCCTTCCTGCAGCAGCAGCACAGAACTAGACCTCTGTTCAGCAAGTAAGAATCCAGGCAGTGTCAGAGCAATGGAAGGAAGAAAGGCAGGGATTTCAACCCAGAGGCAGAAAGCAGCCAGATTTTCCTCGACTGATAGTTTGGGAGTACTACTTTTTTTCAGCTTACACATGCAGATTCCCCAGACTATATTTTCACTGGGCATGTACCAAAGTATAATTCTTAGTGACCTGGTGTAAATGAGGCAAACATACATGCTGCACCTCCACTGCTGCATCTTTACTGATGGGGGAAGTGACTACCACAAGGAACAAAGACTGAGTTAAGAGTATTTTTGTGTTTGTTTCTTTTTGAAATAAGGGTATATTTTAATCCTTAAAGTGAGGTCAAATGGCATGCCCTAACGGCAGGCATACTCTTTGCACCCTTTACTACGCTAGGTCTAGGCCTTCCTTGATTTGAGGAACTGCGCTGAGATTTTGTGGTGTGGATAGAGATCACCACATTTGTGCTGAGTCTGGATTTGATTTGATTTTAGCTCACCAGAAAAGCTTATGTAGCAACACACTGTGCCATTTAACTCTTCTCTAGACAAATAACAAAGCAGATGGATAGTCTCTATTGCTACTTTCCTTTAAACACTGGCTCCTAGCCTATTACAGAAACTATTTCCTTGCAGTGCATGGCACACAGGTACTGCTCTCTAGAGATAACATCTCTGTAGGGTTCCTGGATCTTTTCTCTTTAGTTCTAATGGAACAGCCCTTAGGCTAGGTCTACACTACCCGCCTGAATCGGTGGGTAGAAATCGATCTCTCGGGGATCGAATTATCGCGTCTCGTCGGGACGCGACAATCGATCCCCGAATCGACGCTCTTACTCCACCAGCGGAGGTGGGAGCCACGGAGGTCGATTTTGCCGCCGTCCTCACAGCGGGGTAAGTCAGCTCCGATAGGTTGAATTCAGCTACGCTATTCGTGCAGCTGAATTTGCGTATCTTAAATCGACACACCCCCCCCCCCGTAGTGAAGACCTGCCCTTAGCTCTTAAGGCTTTCTGATGGATGAGAGCAGTATTAGTGGGACAGAGCACAAGACAGAGCCCCTACTGGGCATCACACACCACTCTTTTTAGAGCAGTGGTTCTCAACCAGGGATACATGTACACCTGGGGGTACACATAGGTCTGCCAGGGGGTACATCAACTCATCTAGATATTTGCCTAATTTTACCACAGGCTACATAAAAAGCACTAGCAAAGTCAGTACAAACTAAAATTTCATACAATGACTTGTTTATACTGCTCTATATACTAACTATACACTGAAATGTAAGTACAATATTTATATTTCAATGTATTTATTTTATAATTATATGATAAAAAGGAGAAAGTAATCAATTTTTCAGTACTAGTGTGCTGTGACACTTCTGTACTTTTTTGTCTGATTTTGTAAACAAGTAGTTTTTAAGTGAGGTGAAGCTTGGGGTACACAAGACAAATCAGGCTCCTGAAAGGGGTGCAGTAGTCTGGAAAGGTTGAGAGTCACTGCTCTAGAGTACAAATACTGCCCTTGAGGCGCTCAGAGAAGGAGCAGGAACTGCAGCATGTTGCAGACTGCTCTGGAGTCTAGCAATGCTCATTGAGTAGCTGTTCATTTTTCAACCCCATCTTAAAAGTCAGACCTGGTACAGTTTTTCCAAACACTGAGGTCTTTGCTTTGATGCTGGGTTAATGCCCAGCACAATTTTGTCATCTCCCTCCCAGGCTCTGTCTTCCTCTCCTCCTAAGACGACTGCAGGCTGCAGAGAATCTGCTTATGCTGATGGCACCGGAGTCGGCCCACTCCTCATTAGGGTCCTTTCTTACATACGTTATGCCCCATTACTAGTGTGCGGAGTGGGAGGTTGGCTGCACTGGGCCAGCTACCAAGCACTCTCCTTGCTCCACCAGGAACTCTCTCACTCAGCAGGGACTCAGAGTAGGTAACACAGGAATTGCTGCCTGCATCTGGCTGCTATGTGCATCCCACCTCAAGGAAACAATCAGACAGCACTCCACTCCAAGGATGTGAGCTGGCAACCTAAACAACAAAGGATATTCCTAGTAGGGTGACAGATAGCAAGTGTGAAAAATCAGGACGGAGGTGGAGGTTAATAGGCACCTGTATAAGACAAAGCCCCGAATATCGGGCCTGCCCCTATAAAATCGGGACATCTGGTCACCCTAATTCCCAGTGAAGGCTGCCATACAGCAAATGCCACTGTGTGGAGGTGCTGAAGCACATGCTGAGGTCCAGCAAAGAGGCTCTGCGCAATGGGATAGGCAAATCAAATTATAGTCACATTAAAAGGAAAAAACATTTATACAACAGTAAGGTAACACAATTGAAATAAAGTTAAGGGATACAGAAGTGAAGGTTTCCATAGCAATGACACCTACCTCAGCATAAAGCACTAATCACTGTGCTATCTAGCTACCAACTCAACCCTACTGCATTTTATTAGAAACGTTTAACAAAAAACATATTAAACAAGAAAACACACTGAGTGAGAGGGGGACAGACAAAATGGCACGTGCACTTCAACCAAGTTACTGTTCAGGTTTCTACAGCAACTTTTGCAAAGGGTTTACAATTTAAAGTCAAAAAATGCATTTACATGGTCTTTTGCAGTTAATTCCCTACACTTGTTTTTGTTTTGTTCATTTGTTTTTTTAAACAGAAAACAACAAATGGACATTTCTCAGTTACATGGCCAGAGGCCATGTTATCTCTAGTACAGGGATGGGCAAAATACGGCCTGTGGGCCGGATCCAGCCAGTCTAACATTTCTGTCTGGCCTCCTCTGCCCCCTCGCAATCTCTAAGTCCGGGCCGCTAAAAGTCCCACGGCACAGCGGGGCGCTCAGCCAGGCTGCCTGCCTGCCGTAACTCCATGCTGCTGCCAGAAATGCCCAGCTGCTGCTGGCAAGTCTCTGCGTGCCCCTGGCGGAGGGGGCTGGGGGAGAAAAGGAGGTGGCTCTGCGCGCTGCCCCCGCCCTGTCCTCACAACTCCCAGGAGCTGTGGGGGCAGTGCTTGCAGGTGCAGGGAGCACATGGAGACCCGCTGCCCCCTTCCCTCCAAGGGGTGCGCAGAGACGTGCCAGCAGCAGCCAGCCACAGCAGGCAGGCAGCCTGCCTAAGCCCTGCTGCGCCACTTGTGGTAAGCGCCTCCCAGCCAGAATCTTCACCTCGGACTCTCACCCTCCCCACCACCACCACCCCAACCCCAGGTCAGAACCCCCTCCTGCACCCAAACTCCCGCACAGACCCTGCTGCCCCTCCTGCACCCCAATCCCCTGCCCCACCTCAGAGCCCCCTCCTGCACCAAACTCCCTCCCAGAGCGCACACCTCTCACCCTCTCCTGCACCCCAACTCTCTGCACCAGCCCGGAGCTCTCTCCTGCACTCAGACCTTGCACCTCCTCCGTTAATATAGTAGCAATGTGCGGCCCAGGACGACTTACCAAAATTCGTGGAACGGCCCCCTTACGTAACGTATTGCCCACCCCTGCTCTAGTACCTATCAAAATCTTTCCCAAACTGCACACTTATATAGGGAGCAGGAACCAATAAGCCACAGGCTGACAAGTGCCCTGTAGCTGCTGGGCAAAGCTGTGCATGGCTACAGTTGTGGTCCAAGGCGCATTTTAAGTGTGTACCTGGAGAGCAGCATTTTCATGTGCTAATTGAAATAAAGTTTATATGAAATTTATATAATTAAACTGTCAAAATGCTGTACAAATAATCAAAACAGTATTTTTCCAACCTATCAGGGGTACACGCTCCTCGACAAGGTATTTGACATTTCAAGAGCCCAGTACTGAAGAGTCTTGCTCACATGAGTCCTCTCTACTCAGAAGCAGTCACATGGTCACATAAGACTTATAGAATTATTATTATTCATTTATTTTTGAATTGCCTATTTGGAAAAACTGGTGGTCAGAATGGGGGGGGAATTGATCTTCATATAACAACAGCTGAACAACATTTGCTCATTTTCAAAACAAAACAAAAAAAATCACCTTGGGAATTAAAAAAAACCTCAGACCATTTTGGCTTAAGTTCACTTATCAAAAAGTTCTGAGATCATGTAAACAATGTTCTAATGGAAACACTTTTGCCGCCTTGGTTTTTGCAGTTACTGCCTGCACCCACTATAACACTATGCTACCTGTATACAAGACATACAGTCTCTTTTTATGAAGAAACATCCCCATCTTCAGATTCTGCAAGAGGAGCACAAGGTTTCCTTCAAGTTGTCCGAAGGACAAGGCTTGCCTCGCCCTTCTTCCCTTTTGCTTTACGCTGCTTATGACCAGCAGACCTTGTCCTTCCAGAAACCCAAATGAACATAGTGCTGTGCCAAAGTCTGAGCAGGATTTAGACAATAATATGCAGCAAGGCAGCACACAGCCAAAATCACCTATGGATAGGAAATGGCTAGCTGTAGTATATACCTTTTTACTATCACTAACCAGGAATATACAAATAGCTTAAAGACTTACTTTGCTGAATTGCGGCAAAGATTCATCCATATTGTAATAATCACCAGACCAAACAACTCTCTATACAAAATAAATAAATAAA